GACACAGGAGAAAATTCTTGGGAAAAAGTTTGCCAAAATTGTGCATGAAGGATTAATTGATTCAAGTATAATAAACCTTGATTTGCCTCAAAATTCATGTACTATTTCTTGGAATACAGGAAACTTTACATAAATAAGCAATTGAGTCAAGTGTGATAAACCTTGAAACAAGGAGCAGCGCAAAGTGGAACTTGGCTAATTTCACACATCAATTTAGTCACTTTTCTTTTACCATTTCTTGAACAAACATCAGAAAATTTTGTATACTATTTCATTTATGATGTCTTGGAGTACAAGAAACTTTGCATAAGTAAGCAATTGATTTAAGTGTGATAAACCTTGAAACAAGGAACAGCGCAAAGTGGCACTTGACAAATTTCACACATCACTTTAGTCTCTTTTCTTTTGCCATTTCTAGAACAAACATCACACCGTCTGTATAATCTAGCTCGTTTTCCAGTTGGGGGAATTTCTGCAGCAAAATATCTTCCTATCAGTCTACCTGGACCAGGAAGACGGGTTGGTCTACCTCTAGATCAATTCACTGGCAAATTTGGTGCACGCAACTCTGAAATTTCACTCACCAACATATGTCTAAATGTCAAAAAACTGTCAGTGCCAGCAATTTCCTTATACACAAGATAAGAGTTTACAAGAGCAACATCAAGCCAAACAAAGAACACTTTCTTATACCATTTGATTGATTTTTTGACGGAGCGGTGTGACGATGCCAGCTGGTCTGCAATATCCACACCCTTCATCCCCTCGTTGTAGTAGAGTTCACACTTGGGTTTCTCCAAAGCGATGCCGTTACGGTTCAGCTTGCCAGTGTCGGCCATCTCGGCTGTGTGCATCATGGACAGCATACGGACATCTTTTTTGTCTCGCCAGACCAAGGCGAGCAAGCCTTTGATGCTGGAGTGGTGAACAACATCCCCTCTCTCAAGTTTCAAGGAGCACAAGTCCTTGGGCATATCTTGACGATTTTGTCTCACCGGCCCGACCGACGACGTTCGTCTTCTGGTCGTGTAGTTTGAGGTACAGTTCTGGGCTGCTGAACCAGTTGTCCAGGAAAATGGTGTACCCTTTGCCAAGAAGATCGGCATTCAAGTCAAGTATGATTTTCGTACTTGCCAGTCCAGCAGTCTAGTCTTGACCGGTGTAAATCTTGAAGTTCCAGGTGCAACACCCATGCTGTGGCAGACTCGACACACCTTGATGCCAAACCTTGCACGCCTCTTGGGGTTGTACTGCTTGAACTTCAGTCTCCCTTTGAATTTCCAAAGGGACTCGTCGGTAGTAATGTTGCTGGACGGAAAGTAGACAGACTTGAACTTCTTGGTCAGTTCGTCTACCACTGGGCGGATTTTGTAGAGTCAATCAGTCGCATCTGCACGGCTGTTATCAACGAAATGCAGATAGGCCAACAAGTCCATAAATCTGTCCCGTGGCATGGTATCAAGAAAAAACGGAGTCTCAAGTATTGAGTCTCTCGTCCAGTAGGACTTCAGGTTGGGTTTCGGGATCAGTCCCATGACTATCATCATGGACAGGAACACCGACATCTCGTCAGGTGTTGTGTCGAACCAGCTTCACCAATTTATTTGGCCACAGGTAGCTGTTCTGGGCATTGCAGGAGTCCTTGAAAGCATTTCATATGAAGTCTACTTAAAGCCGTGTGCAAACAGTGTTCTCTTTTGATTGGAAGATTTTTTTTTCGTTCACCACACACGTATCCTGCATAGAATTCAGTTCAATTCTTGTCACATTTCAAGCAGTTCTGACATGGTTGATTGAACTGCTTTGTGCTCAGGATTTCTTGGCCATCAGTAGTTAATAAATGATGTTTGCCAATTTCCAAAATACTTAGCCACATCAAGAAATGAATAATTTCATTGATTATAATTTTCTGTTTAGTGTTGCAATAATATCCGCTCAGTGTCATTCAAATGAGGTTACCCCTAACCAACAATAGCGGAGAAAAAATTGTAAAATCAATGGAAACTTTGGCGGTCTTGTCAAGTTGCTGTGGAATTGTCCCTATAGTGAAGTTGTGCCTTAAAGCATGACATGATGGACTCCATCACCTGATTTATTATAGAATTTTGAATATTTAATTTTTCCCATAGGTTTCGTATACTTTTCTCAACAGCCAGATTTCGGCATTTATATCAATCTGACTGACTTCATGTTAGGTGCACATTGTTGTTCCACCAGCTAGAGTCCTAGAACAAAATCGTCATCTTGACGTCATCAGGTGTCACGGGACATGACATTAAAGGTGCCAACTTTAAAGCCATTTTATGTACATGTACATATATCTCCTGAAGTACATGTCTGATTTAGTTGAAACCTTGTAGATAGATAGAAAGGAATGTGTTATTGACAAAAATTGAAATCAATTGATTTCCAATTTGGCTACAGAAAGACATTTTTGCAATGATGCATTGGCAAAAGCGCATTATTATTTATCTCCATCAATGATGGCGCCCTCTATTGACAGTTTTTTGTGGAAAGAGCAGGCAGCCCGTGGCTGCTGCATTTTTTTTTTAATTCTGTGATCACTTTAAAGAGATGATCACCTCAGCTTGGAAGTGAGATCACGCATTTGTATTTCATTGCAACATAATAGGAAAGGAAGGGGGAAATGGCGAAAGGAAATTGTATGACTTCATTTCACTTTCACTTAATATTCTTTGAATTTATTGAATTTTTAAAACAAAATGACACTGATTTTTTTCTTTATTTGAGAGGTACAGTATTATTTCAATTAAGCAAGTTCCTCACTTGGTCTGGGTCCCTCTTTCGATAAGTATTTTTGTGATTAAAAGTGTGAAGCAATCTGAAAAATTGAACAAGTTACCTTTTCCCAGTGACTCTCTTTCCCATTCAATCATGAGTTTCAATTCTTCCTAAAGAACAATATTCATTGGGTGACTGTTCCCTCAGTGCGTTCTGAACCTGCGAGGTCAGGGAATGGAATTGTGTTTGTACATGTATTTTGCTGGCGATCTTAATGAAATTAGCCTCTTTTGTTCAACACGATTTTCCTTTCAAGTTTTTATTTTAATTATCTTCCAGTTCAAGTTGAAATAGACCATGTTTCTGTCCATGGAAGTACATGTAGCTCCACCTGCATATTTTGTCTTGATTTTTATCTGCAAAAAAAAAAATTTTAATTTTCAGTATTATTTATTTCTCAGAAGTCTTTGTCAAAAGTTTTGATTAACGCTCTATAGAAATAAAACAACACAAAATGTGTTGAGATATTTATTTCACACTCAAAGAGAGGAGTTTCAAATCACATATTCTATTTGGCCAACCGCTAGGAATTTTGAGAAACTCTTTTATCCGCTATTCCTAGCCATGACACAATATCAAGTCCAAGACAAGCCACGAGCAGGTAGAAATGTCATCGTTTTGGCTCATTAACGTGTCAACTAGTGCAAAAAAATCTCTTCACCCTCCAGCGTTTGTTAGGATCGACAGTCTACATTACTCGTGACAAAAGGCTACATTTCTTTGAACTACTTTTCAGTTTAAATTCCACTTCAGCTGTGTTATAACCCTCAAATTATGACTAACCTTCACACACAAAGTCCACACAATGGCAACGAAGTCGATGGCATATGAGCGAATGCATGACACGGCGCACTGGGCCCAACACCATCAACAGCAGTCACATTCAGTAGACTCTACATATCTCAACAGTAGTGGGCGCTGCTCATTGTGCTCCAAAACCGTCAATTCCTGGCTGAAGACGGCTCAAAAAGTTGGGTTTTTTGGCACAGTGATGAATTGCGCAACTTTTCCTCTTGATTCTGTTTGTAGCCAATTAATCAGTCAACCAATTTATGAATAAAATAGACTTCTTTTCTTTTCATTTCATACTGTTTCATATCACTAAGGCCAAGACATGTACATGTACCTTGAGACCTCAACTTTCTGAAAATGTGTTATCTAAAAATGCAATCTAATTTTTAGTCTAAAATTTAATTTGAAAATATTTTTTAAACCATGAAACTTTTCGGTCTGAAAAGGTGTCATTCATTATGGTGTGCTTCATTTTGTCTTTGGCTCGACTAGAATGTTTACTTTGCAATCATCAGAGGTATCCTGGAAATGCCAAACGATCAGCCCTTGGCATCCCAATATCTCCTTGTAACTGTTCAAATTGGGGAAAAAAATACTAAAAGGCCTACATGTACATGAATACTCTGTCAAACAGGTGACAGGTAAGTTTGTAAGGCTGTTACATTGTACATATTCAAAGGAATTCTAATGATTGGGTAAAAAGTGAGTTTGATTCAGTTCAGTCAGCACTATTTGAATAATTCTTTTAATCATAAAGCATGCCTAAAGAGTTTGCCTCAGCAAATTTCTGTGAAAAACCTGTCAGAGAAGATTTAGCAATGAATCACCATGATCACAAGTTAATCGCAAGTCATGCGATCCAACTGAAAATATTCTCACTAATCATTAAGTCAGTAGATTTGGTTTATTGTTAAAGGGACAAAAAAAATCACAAGGACAAAAAATGTTGGTTTACAATAATTTAAACCTTAACAATGATTATTGAAAAAGGTATACGCATAAAAGTTACACAAAAGAAATGATATTACAAACAAGTTGACACACAATTTAAAATTTGATTAAGAAAAATAACGATTCAAACATAACATCAGAATTGATCGGGGGTAAAAAAATAGCATTAAAAATATTATAACACAGCAATTACTAAGAATTGATTAGTCGGATCATAGAAGGGATAGGGGATTTTTTTTACCGTTGAGTTTTGATCAAAGGCATTATCAAATGGTTTTTAGTTTCGAAGAGTCCATTCGGTGAGGGTGGACCTTGAATTTGGGAGCAGTGAACAATGTCTTTCGGAAACTCACAATTCTTTGGCATATTGAATAGTAAGGTCAACATGTGTGTCTGAGAGCAATTTGATATAAAAATTGAGTGCATCTGTATATGGTGAAACATTTTGGTAAGAAGTTATGCGAATTGCATGTTTCTGGACTCTCTTGATATTTTCAACGTGATTGCAGACCTGAGGACTACACCACTGCACCATAGTCAAGTACAGAATGTGTTTTATAAAAAAGATCATTAGTGTTGATACCTTTTTTCTTCAGTTTACTTAAAATATAAGTCTACGTGGGGTATTCACAATGAGTTGCTGAACCTGCTGGTCCAACCAGAGGTCATCTTGGATGATTTTTTTCAAGTAACTCGATAGATGAAACAAGCTCAAGTTGCACATCGTTAACTTTAAGATGCCAAGGAGGCAGTGGATTATGCAAGAAAAAGAAATGCAAAGCTTTGCATTTAACAGGATTAAGTATCATATCATTTTGGAACACCAATCGGCAAGTAGACAGATACATGTACATGTATGTGATTGAATACTTGATTGTTGCTTGTTTATAATATCAAGAATATGCAGATCATCAACACATTTCCAACAATTTGCTGGTGTCTCTGAGCAGCATCGTTTACCATGACGAGAAAAATTATGGGACCTAATTTCGTGCCTATGGAACACTACAAGTGAGATTAAGAGGTGTGGAAGTGGTGACAAGAAAACAAACAGTTTAGGAACGATTTGACAAAACACTGCAAAGCGTTGGAAGGAGGGATCTATCAACCCCTAGCTGAATAAGTTTTGTGTGACTAATGTCAAAAAATCATAAACGAAAATTGAAAAAAATCAATTTCCTTTTTTTTCAATCTCAGACAACAAATCAAAACATATTACCTTATAATTTCAATGTGACAGGCATTAGACTGACAGTAAAACTCTTGAGTTGGGCAAGTAGTACATGTTCCATGTGCTGAACTGCTATGTGAGACCACTCATGTCACAGCCCACCACGCTCGCAGTACAGCCCAGGTGGTCTGCAAGCGTGGTAGTGTCAGCTTTCTTCCCACCAATGACAGGTTCCGTTTGGACTGAGCATGTAGTTATTCAGCAAGCTGTGGCATTATCCCAAAGTCTTTTGTCTTCAATGGAAAACAGATAGCCCCAAATCTCAAATTTTATCAAATCATAAATCAAATCGTTCATTTCGCTTGTCTGGCACAACTTAGACCACCTGAAATGACTAGTTATGCCATAATTTGTTGCTTAAAATTGTGGACTTGTGCAGTGCATTAGTTTTTGGAAATCACTCTTATTTCATATAATAAAATGTGGCGTAAGTGGAGTTACGCCATTGCGTAAAGTTTCATAAAATCTGCTGGTGATCAATGTGTCTCTTAATTTTAGAAAGCAGTGCTTTTGTCCATGTACAATATTGTTTTATATTTGATCCATCTTACATGTGATCTATCTTTGCACTCTTTACCTGGAAGTACATGTATCACACTCTTACTACAGTAAATAGTGTAAATGCATTATGAAGCGAACATATTCATGCAGATTTACATGCAGCAAGTGGTAAATGGCCAGCCTACAGGAAATCATTGAAATATCAGCATGCAAAGTATAGTTTACAGAGATGCAATCCTTGGAATCTTTAATAGTTTTCCAAAACATGCTGTATGAATACGTTTGTGGACCCTCAAAATAAATAACATGCTTGATGTGATGAATTGCAAACTCACACTGATGTTTCAACAAGGAATGGATAAAAATTACACTTTTAACAAAGGTACATTTACATGAATGTCTGTTTTATTCCAGAGGAAATGGGCAGTACTGTCTATCAATCAAGACATTGAAGGTACAGTGCAAGTGGGATCAAAATAGTGGAATATTCACCTTATTTACCCCCCCCGGCCTGAGAAACATCCAGGCTACATGTATAAATGCATGTTGCCATCAAAATGCAAACATTTGATGGAACATAACATATTATTATTCATGTAATATAACATTTACGATTTCATGCTGGAGTTATTTCACAACAAACTGCCTCAATCACAAGATTATATTTGAATAAAAACTATTGGTTCTGATAGAAACATAGCAGTTTTTAAATGAAGTCTAACACCACAGACGTGACAAACACTGGCTCTTGATAACTATTTGTACAATGCTATATCATCGGGCTTTGCTGTAGAATGATATATGCTATAGTGATGTGCCATTGACAACTTGGTAAGCCATTGATATCACATGGTATACCAGATGTTTTGTGTGCACAAAATCGAGGGAACCACTGAAGCTTGACAGTTTGACTGTGATCTGCTCTTTCGATGATACACTTACATTGCCCTATCATGCGTTCTTGTCCCATATGCAGCTGTCAGTGACAGTCATTGGGGGTTTACATGGCCTGAACATTTATTTTGGTTCATTGTGCTGCCACTCAGTTTAATGAATCAGGCAATAAAGTGTGCTGTTAATGATGTCATGAAAATGCAGCCTGTAGCTCACTTGTCCAGTTTGTAACAATTGATTGCCATGCTGTTGGCTGGGCATACGTTTGTTTTATACACACACTGTATATATACATGTACATGTATATATGAATGTCTTTTGATATCAATGACCATCTTTATATTGCAATGAATCTTAGTTTTCCTACATTTAATCACCTTGCACACTTTTTACTGCAGTAAAACCCTATGAATTCAACAAAAGCACACAACTTATCGGATGTATTACTCTGGAGGTGGACTTCTTGCAGAAGAAAAAGTAAGTTTTTAATCAGATCAATTCAGTTGAATTCAGTTCAATACTGTTTAGTTTTATCCAGTTTTGGCCTAGGAACCAATATCCAAAAGACAATTCAATTAAAACTTTTATAAAACTAAAAACATCACATTTAAAGGCAGGTAGTACAGAAGTTTAGTATGCAGACATACATAACCAAGGAAACAGGAACAATTCAACAAAGTGGACAGGCACATGCACCAACTACTGAAATGTTGACCATGTAAGGGGTGGGACATAAATAAGGGAATAAATACATGCATGTAAAACTAGCTGGTAAATATCTTCAAACATGCCCCCCCCCCAATGCTTGTGCTTCCGGTTTCCTGACGGACCCTAAACTTTTGACACCAACCTAACATTTTTATTGACAAGTTGGAAAAAACAATTTTAAAAAATTGATAAATACCTCAGTCTCCCTATTCAACAACATGCAACTTGACCACATATTAACATTTGATAATGCCCACTAAGAAGTGTTAATTCCCATTGTGTAAATCACATGCTGACACCTGGGTACAAGACAGTTTAATCAATTCTAATTGGTCAAGAGTCTGTGTGCACGCGGTTCACCACGCATGTGCCAATTGGACGATTTTGCACAAGGAATATTCCATAAATGGATGGGGTTGTTTGGGAAACTGAAAGTAAAATTCTAGCTCTAAATTGCTGGAAATTCATCCTATATTGCCTTTTTTTATGCTCTGACTGAAAAGGTATTTGTGAATGGGAATAAATACTGCATGTGCTTAGCCGGTGTTAAACTAATGTTTAAGACCGGCTCAGGAGACTGAATGCTGATATTTGCCCTTGCCTGCGGCTCGTGCATTAGTTATGTCCATTTTCCTGAGCCAGTCCAAACTCATATTTATTCCCTTAGTAATAATAACAATTAATCCTGTAGTCTTCTGTCTTCACAAAACACCTCTCACAACCGTTTTCACCTAAAAAAACTTGTATGTTTCCCTACGTACATGGACATTTGCAACTTTTGAAAGAAACTTTCATTATTTTCACGAGTTCTCTTCCGGTGTCACTGTTGCGGGAGTGAAAACATGCTCAATGATACACAATCCGTTGAAGCAATGCTGCACTGGTTCTCACATACAGTCTATGCATCCTGCCAAAATAGTGTCGTTACACCTTATTGTTTTTTCCTATTTTTGTTCCTTGGCCATTGTCAAATGCCTAGCTTCTGCTTATGCCCAATTTAAGTAACACGAACTGACAATAAATGTTATAACCATTTGTAATCCAGAGGATTGCATGGCAAGAAAATTTGAACATTATGTTTCACAACAAAAAATCTTCAGTACTTTGGGTAATTTATGTCTCAACTGTGAGGTGCATAAAAGCCGAATATAAATAAGTTGGTGCACACATTACACTTCATCTCAACTATTCAGGCTTAGTCCAGAAGTTTACATTTATTGCTCTGTTTTCATGATTTTAAATTACAATTTATTGAAATATATCTGTAGTTGAAACTTTATACACAGTTCTGACTTCAAAAATCCCTTGGCTTCAAAATGCACCCACTTTTGGTAGAACATTTTAGCCTCTGTGATCAGAAAAAATTACATTTCAAAATTGTCTAATCAGCAAAAGTAAATTGGGGAAAGCAGGCAATATTTGAATCTATTCTCATATAATGGTTCTAAATTACAATTCATTTAAAAATGTCTTCTTAAAGCATTATAATTACTTTCTTACCCCATATTTCTCTGAGCTTTAAAACCCACCCACTTTGGGATGAACACTGTAGCTTCTTTGATGAAACCAAAAACATTTTGACATTGTAGCATCAATGCAGATCAGAAGTAGAGTTACATGTATGTTGCTACCCAGGGGCTGGTACTTAATCAAGTGTTAAGACCAGCCACCTGACAAGCTGTTGACAAATAGGAATGACTATTAAACGTTCCTAGGTATAAATTTATGAATAAATGTTTGATACTAAAACACATGTATATCTATTTGTGTCTGTTTTTGAGGGATGCCTGCTCACTTAGAGCATTTTCTAAATTAGTGAATTTGGCTTAGACTTTGGTTTCATTGGTTCCAGTCAGAACTTGAACATGTGGTTTTAAAAATTTTCAAAATGGCCGGAACCAACAAAACCAAAGTCTAAGCCGAATCCACTCATTTGAAAACACTATTAGAATAATATGACCCGCGCTAGTGTGTGGGCCCCATTACCCACTTCAAAAGAAAAGTGACAGAAACATGCTGGTTTGTTTGAGTTTACTGGCTTAAGAATCATTAGACATACATGTGCATTGTACGGTACATGTACATGTATGTACATTGTACAGTATATGTATGTAAATACTATGTCCATGTATTTGTGAACAGGACCCAAATTTCTTTATTAATTTTTAAGTAATTTTCCCAAGTTAACAGCTCTTCATCTATATATAAGTCAGAAATTTACACTTGTGGATATAGCCAATTCACATTTCACAGTATCTGACAAGGTCATTCTGTGGTCTCAACCATATTGGTTTGGTAAGAGTTATTTGATAAGAAAACATTTGTTTTGCTTTATCCTACAATTGGTTGCATTAAATACATCAGCATGTACATGGGATACATGGATTTCAGTGAAATTTGTTCGAGGTCAGACAAGCAATTCAATGTGGAAAGATACTTTTTGGGTGCCTCACTCAAAAAGCAAAGTTACACAAACTTATTTTTTAAAAACCTCATGAATGGTTTTAAATCCTTTTTAAAGTTCATGTATTTGTTGTTTTTATTCCCAACAGTAGCACACCTGAAGCCTACGATACAGACATGATGGCTGCAGAGTTCAATATGGCCTTCTCTGAGCATGCATTTACTGTAGGACAACAGGTACTCATGGTGGAATGTACATGTACATGACTAAAATTGGTGTACCAGATTAATGTGACAAAGTTTGCCTCTGCTGAGATTGATTGGTAGTCAAAACCAATATCTGTTTGGAGTATGGAAATTACAGCTCATATCAAAGTGCTTCAAGTGACATATAAAGGCTAACCTTCCAAATATTCAACTGTGACCTGTTCCATGTTCCTTAAAATAGCCACTGAGTCACTGATGGAGGCTAGGATACCACAAGTAAAGGGGAGGGGGATGTGCATTTTCGACATAAACATTTTGTGGAAGTTTTCATTTCATGCCTTTTGGCCATAGAGGATGGAATGGACAGGATGGACACTTTTTACCTGTTCCTTTGACTGCCTCTGCCATGCTTTATTGCCAACAAACTGCTTTAGGCCCATTCACAAGCTCAATTTACTAGACCAGCAAAACGTGTATTTTGCTCATTGCTAAGGAATATCTACACCTAGTAATAAACAATTACAAGCCTTTCCAACATGATTGAAATTGACCGGGCTAAACTACCAATAACACAATAACAAGTTTATATATAGTACATAAACTACACTCATTAGAAGGGCCTTACTTTTGGCAATATTCTCTTATACATGGCATCACGCATTTAAATAAGTGAAAAGCATGTAGAAAGATACATGTAACTAGAAATACAAGTATGATCGGTCCAATACGCCAAAGGATGGTCTGCCCAATGAGGCTAAGAACTACAATAATTAGTTGGCAAGCAGACGCTGTAAGATGTACCAAAGGACTGCTTGTCTTTACTGCTTTACTTTACTAACCATCTATGCCTGCCCCTTACCACTCAAGGTACAAGAGTTAAGCTTATGGAAAATTCCTCTGAGCCTGAGGTTAAGCAAATGCTTACTCTAACGTGGCTGACCATGCACATAAACTGTGCCCCCCCCTCACTTCTGAGATACGGGCTGTGCACTACATGATATAAGTAAACTGAAAGTGATACCTCCAAACAGGACATTGGGCAGAGTCCCTCTCCAACCAAGCGGGAAATAAGGACCACCCTGTCTCCTTTATACTCAAGTTATATGGGATACCACACAGTATAGTGCAGGGTGTCATTTATGAGAGCCACAACACAAACACCTAAACATAGATTGAAATAAGCCTGCAGAGCATAGCCCACTCCCTCGAGATAAGAGGGGGTAATCCTGGGAAAATGTCCCTCAAGCCTGAGATCGAGCGGATACCTCCTTTCACCTAACCTGCAGTAGTGATGTGCTAAAGGACCCCCTTCTTGCATATAGCATTGGTACATGTATATGTACATGGAACATAGGCAATATGCGACCTGTCATGCATAAGAACAATGCACCTTCCCGCAGTACAAAAAAAGAGGCAAAAGAGGAAATGGAGAGCAGCAGCTCGTGCTTCCTGTGCAAGCTGCAGGAGAGACCGTCACTCGAGAGTGGAACTGTTTAGCCACGACCATTGCTGCAGGTAATGTGACAACTCTTGGCACCATTCCATCGTCTGTACAGATGGACGGATGAAAACCAATGATGACAACATGCAATTAAGGTGAACTATACCAAGTCCACAATTCTCAAAGCTGAACTACACCAGGTCCATCCGAAGAGAACTAACAGGTTCACAAATTCTCCAGGGGAACTATACTAAGTCCACCTCAAGTGAACAGACATGCTGACAAATCCTCTAGGGGAACTACATGTATACCAAGTTCTGCAACCTCTTCCTTGTAATTACCATGTACCAGGATGAAGTTGTTAGTTTTTAAACATGCACAGACAAGGTAGAACAGATCCTTACCCCCTACTCAAAAGGTACTGCCTACTCAAACTGAACTGCTGATCACTACCCTTACTGAAAACATGCTGCACCTCTACTCAAAAAGGTATTGAGTTCTCGAAAGATACTACAGATCACTGCCCCGACTCAAAAGGCACTGCCCACTAAAAGGGCACTGCCAACCCAAAGGTTGCAGCAGATACTGGTAGCTGCCCCTACTCAAAAGGTACATGTATTGCTTGCTCGAAGGTGCAGCAGTCATTGCCCTACGCAGATACTACTGTGTACTCAAAAAGTACATGTACTGCTGATTGCTACCCTGCAAACCAAGAAAAGTTATTGGCTATGTTAAGTATAGATATCTCTTCTACAGGTATCAAGTCATGGATGGTGGGTGGGTATTTTGAAGAAACCTAGCTTGGCAAAGCAACAACGAAACCTGAAGGGGTGGCACGAAAAGGTTGCAGAAGACCATGCATCTCGTGCCCTGAGTGGGTGGTTGCTAAATGCTCGGTGAAGCTGAAGCTGGAGAGGCCGCATGTAAAGCCAACACCATGGGATGAGGTCGATGAGGCTGGCCATCAACCTGAGAAGATGAAGCCAGGCCCAGGCCCCTGGAACAGAGTGACGCACTGGATTAGGTTGTCCACGCACTCGCCCGTGGGATTAATGATGCTACGGCACAAGTCGTGAACGGCCCCAAGGAAGGTTGGCATTTATGACCGGCTCGGTCTGGATTTGTTGTGATTGATCTGGAAACCCAGGCAAGATGCAAGAGCATATGTCACTGTTATCACCGAAAGAGCCTCGACTTCAGAATGTCCGACTATCCACCAGTCCTGTAGATACTGCAATATCAGGATGTCGGAATGACGTAGGTGGGCTGCCACCACTGGGAGCGTTGGAAAGGCGGAAGGGTAGGGCGCAAAACCAGATGGCGATAGGAGAAGCGGAGAAATCAGCGATGTTGCGTGTGAATGGGGATGTGTAGATAAGCGCCCTGCAAGTCTGTTGATGACACCCAAGCTGGAACGGGAACTGACCGCAGAACAGTATGGAGCGTCTCCATTCAAAATTTCTTTGGCTGGATGAAGACATTGAGTGGGTTCAAATTAAGGACCGGTCACCACTTCCCGGGTTCTTTATTTGGCATGAGAAAGAATGTTGACATGAATCCCTGTTGAGTGAAATCTGGTTGAACGGGTACAGTGATGCGCTTTTTCAGCAGAGCAACAATTTCTAACTCCATAGCCTGCCATTTGGATGGGTCTTTTTGGATTGGAGTCGGTCAGATCACACTGAGGCCCAGGAGCATTGAAGGAAGCAGGGCATGGTCATCCCCCACCTGAAGAGAGAGGCCAATGAGAATGAGAAGTCTGCAGTGGTCGGCAGGTTGGCGGGGGTAGTCTGGGCAAGGTGGCCTCTGTGATGCTGTTAGTGCCACCTTACAAGGAGGCTCAGCCGGTTAACGGAAGGAGATCTTGTGAGCACTGTTGATACGTTTGACCTCACTTTCCAAGAGGCTGACGAACTGGCCTGCGAATAGATCCTTGGCTAACAAGGGGAGACCTCTAAGTGCTAATTTTACCGATTCATGCTGGTTATTTATGGCTTCAATACAAGACTCCCAACGAGTCACCGTAGCTCAAAGAGAAACCCGAGTAAATTGTTGAAGGCCTGTAAGCAAGGTGTCATCAAGGCTATGAAAGGCAATGGTAACAAACTTGGGAGAGATGTCCGAGCCCATCTCACAAGCACGAGACCAGAATTCTGTCAAAAGGAGAAGGAAGAACATGCAGCGAATACCTTGAATACTTCAATATCCTTAAGTACTACCTCGAAACGCTGGAGAGTCTTGTCAGGAAAAGCGTTACTGGACTTTCTACTTCATGGATAAATCTTATCTTTAAGCACCTCGGGCACCGAAAGACACCGGTAGGTATCGTTATCACCCAGAGAAAAGTTGAAATTAGACCGAGAACAATTGCTGCAGTACAAGGTCTTAGCTTTGGCGAGCTTGTCCATGGCCTCCATGCATGCACAGTCAAGAGGAAGCTCAGGGGAAAGAGAATAAGAAGATGATGACCCCGGAAGGCAACACATAAATGTAGGTTGAGTCTGATCTTCCACTGGAAGAGAAGGAGTTGGAAGTCCCAGAGTTGGAAGATCATTTCACGTTGGAGCAGGCAAAGGCGGGACTCAGCAGGAGAAAGATCATTTAAAGAAACAGGCTCCTCCTCATCAGGTGACTGGTACCAGGTCAGGTACCATGGGAGTATACCTCAGTAGACACCAGTCGAGAGGGCCGAGGGGACAAAGGAAGGTCCCACTGCCCCATGTAAGACTTTGAACGAACCAGGGCGGGAAATAAGGATCTCGATCAGGATGAGCAGAGGGTGGTTGGTGGGAGTAATGCTGAATAAGGGTCGAAATAGACTCCATAAGAGCCTGCAGTGTATCCTTGCTGGACGGAGAGCCCGATGATATCTTGGTCGTCTTCTTGGAAGATCACTCGGAAGAAGGAGAACGGCTAGGCCACTTACGCATCTGCCCCGTTACATCTCTTGACAACTGAGAAGAATCCTGGGTGGGAGAAAGAGCTGTAGGATTCTCCCGCTAAACCCAAATCGGAGAGCGACAAGTGGGTATGGCATCCCTTTGAAGGGGACCAGCAATGGAGGGTGGCTGAAAGCCCCAACGTACATTTAAGAGAAGGCCTAAGGGCTCAGAGCCTCTGGGTGAAAAACGGGCCAGAGAAACCACAGAGGGCCCAGTTCCTGTCACCAAGGTATGACTAGGATCTCAACCAGGATAGGAACGGGTAGGAACTGCCATTTCCTTGGCAGAAGTGGTTGGGCGAGAAGCCATAGCAAATCCCAACCAAAAATGAGGTCTGGAAACACCTGGAGAAATGTCCCACGATGTCGGGCGAGCCATGCCCGGTCAAACCCAACTGAAAGGTAGTAAAAATTCACGGCCACCGTTAATGACAGAGCTCAGCCAGCAACCACCGGCAAGAAACCATGCTGCGCGAGGTGCAAACAGCCTTGAAGAAAGGGCCAAGTAGTATGTGCTTAAATGGTAAGCCGCCACCGACCAGTGCCCACACCAAAGGGTGCCGATTCATTCCCAAAGCTGCCTGCATAAAGGGCGTACTTGCACACGCTCCAACCGTGAAGGAGCGGAAGTGGGCTAAATAGTTGTCTACGTAATGTCTTATGCCATCAGTGAGCATGGACCTAAATGACCGCACCACTGTTCTTACTAACCTGCAATCCCTGGCCCTTGAACAGGAGTGAAGGTCTTAAAGTCTCCCTCTAGAACTTGTATCTAAAACATAGAAAGGGAAATAAAATACAGAGAGAAAAAAGGGAAATACCGAGATCCAGGCGGAAAACAAATAGAACGACGATGCAGAACAAATACAAATTAATGAGACAACTGCTATTAGTATGTTCTTATGAGAAAACTAGTACAGTATATACATGAATGCCACAACTTGGGCGAATTAACAAAGGTATGTACAAAAATTAAATGCAACAAGCTGAGTACCATAGAAAACTCACTCAATTTATTTCAAAACCGATAAATCAGATATATGAAAGAGAGTGCCACCAGGTGAGAACCTAGCAACTAGGTCAAATACAGGTCAGTCTGCCAACCTGCGCAAGACTGAAAAAAGAAAGGAACGGTTAAATCTATATGAAACAGGGAAAAAGGAACAGTGTTACCATTCACAAACAAACAGGTAGATAAAGTGATTTAGAAATGACAAAATTTCAAAACCGGAGCAACCACATCCAAACGTAGTGGTGCTAAGAAAAAGAGGAAGAACATGGCGGCCGCCTTGGCAGGGGTCGAACGAGTGGGGGCACACTACTAGTGATCAAGAATTTAGCGAATAGAAGTAATGGACTTGGAAATATTGCATAGGTTTTTGGTAATCTGCGCAGGTTGCAGGCAGTAGACTGAATTGTCTGTCCCCTTCACCCTTGGCTTAACCCCTTCACGGCAGGATTATTCTGACCGCAATTGCTGAGCTGTGGTATGCCCTGAATGGAGGGCTTTGTCCATCAGCAGGCCCCATTGAACCAGCAGCTGCATGGTGAATAGACTGTATGTGTGGTATGCACTGATCCTCACACAATGGTGCGGTAGTAGCAGTCCTCCGTAGCGAAGGGGTTATGGGGGTTTTCTGGAGACAAGCATCGGAAAAGGTCCTTGGCAAGATATTTCAAATCTACTAATCTTGATATTTATTGGAATGTAACGTTCATCAGAAAAACACATGCATGTCTGTTCCTCATGGGGATGTACATGTAATACATGCAGTTATTTTCACAACTTTTTACAGCTTGTTTTCAAACTTGAAGGGAAAAAGCTACTCGGACTTGTCGTCAAAGAAATGGAAGGCATGTATATATTTGCATTTCTTTGCTTAAGATATTAAGATATATTTGTCAGGATTTGCATAATCCTGTATATTATGTATACAAACTCCAACCTACATGTACATGGCCCGCCAAATGAAGACAACTCAGTTTCAAAGCAGTGTGAGTAGGCATTTTACATGTAAGGTTGGATGACTTTATACATGTACAACGCCTAAAACTCTAGGTCAATATGTGAGACGAGATTTTATTTTCCAGGGTAAAAGACATGTTGTTAGTTCGTTTCTTAAAATTTGCAGCCATGGGTGGAATTGCATGAATAAAAAACTTAAAGTCAGGATAAGTGGAATTTCAGGAAGTACATTATCTGAACCCAATTGTGCAGATTGTTTTAATAGTTTGAATGTGTTCAGGCTTAAAGGTATTTTTTATTTAAAGGTATTTTTTTATGCGGTGTTCTGTTTCATAAGATTTTGCTGCCACAGTTGGAACTACATGAAATTGAATTGATAACACGTCCTGAATACATACAGACTTTTAATGGACTATTAAAACAAGGGTTCCATTCTTAATAATAGTAGATTAATTTAAAAACACAGTGCATGATGTTGGTCCCATACTTGAGGATGCCTCTGGATCTATTGTAGGAAGTACATGTAGATTCAAGTCAGTCATTTTGGAATGACCAAAGATGATTGTACAGTGTGAGACATTGTGTGTATATTCTTGCTCTCTGTAGCTGCTGACATCTCCATGCTTAGAGGAGGGAAAACATCCAAAAGAACCAAGGTACATGTAGATCTTTGCCTCAAGTGCTTTGAAGTAGTGCTTTTAGGGACCTTTATCCCCATGCACATACCTGTATGATGTCAGGTGAAGTTATCTTGGTGTTGGAGTGGTTACATAATGCAAACAAATAATTCTTGTATTAGTTGTTTTGCTGTTCCAACATGTACATCTCAGTAAGGATGAAGACTATTTACCAAGAAGAATGTAGTTCATGCCCACAGGTGTCACTGGAGGTGGGGTAACGGGCTGTTACAGCCCTCTCCCATTGGTTAGTTTTGTCGGCAAAATCATGGTCTGTCAGCAAAATAAAAAATAAAGAATGGAGAATGAAGATGAAAGGAATGGGGATACAGTACACTCGTTCTGCATCTTCAAACTTCATGTGGCACCCCCTCCCATTCAAAATAGTCAACAGATGCCCGTGTTTGTGCCATTTGTTTGCCGGAGGGCCACCACAATAAACATGATGATGACAGTTTTAATTGGGAGATCTTTATTCATGTGATTAGT